TGAATTTGGCCAGAGTTTGGGATTTGGGCGCGGACAAACTAATTTTATAATAGTTTGGGATTTTGCCAACAAGTATAATTCCATATTTTTATCGGAATAAAGAATTCTGAACTAATACGTAGTTATCAGCCCAAAGAATAATAAAGCAGTAATACGCTCGTTGTGCAGATAATATTACAAAATCGACTAAAAACCAGAATTAGTTTAACGCCTACAAACCTTTTAAAACTCACAAGTCAAGTAAGTATAATTAAGATCCTCCACTACACTCCGGATCGATTATTTAATTATTCCACCTGATTGAATCCAGTTTAGTAGAATATCATTCCCATTAGTAATATTGTTTTTACAACGTAAATATATAGTTGCATTTGTGACTAATTAAATCTTGATTATAACAAGCTATAATCAACCGAATATGCTGATTATAACAAGCTATATGCACGTCGATATGCTAATCTTAACCATTACTATTACAAATTAGTTATCGCTATCAAAAAAAAAATGTTTACTATATAATTAACAAAAAAAAACTTATATTTATAAAAATAAGACTATTAGACAGGTAATTATTGTAAAATCTCAAATTATGATTGGCTGCCCCGAAGCATCCTTTTGCTGTGGGCCCCCCCATATGATGATCAATTTGTATCACGTGAATCTCAGCATAAGCTGCCACACTTGTTACTCAGCAATTAAGTAAATATTTGTACTATAATTTACAATATATTTTCTAGTAAAAATATAATTTTTTTGACCAGTGTAAAGTTGTAAATTTAATTTAACATACTGTAATTAATAAAATTTATTAATAAATTATTTTTTTTAAAATGTTACTTTACTTTTATATTAATATAGACTTCGATGAGTTCTACTGTTCAATCTACAAATTTTGGTTATTTGCAGTCCGATCATAGTAAGACATCGGATAACACCGTTATTAGATGTTACATACCAATAACTTGTTTATCTGACTTTCAGCCAGAGATAATGGAGTTATTTTGTACGTAAAAATAACTCCGTTATTGGATATTTAACATATATTATGCAGTGTAATAATACAAAAAAAAAAAAAAAAAAAAAATTAATATGTATTTCGGAGTTTTAAAATTATGTCGGTGTTATTAGTTTGGAACTTAATAACGGCTTAAGTCCCAAACTAGTTTTGCCAATTCAGCATACGTACGGCATGGGTCTCATCACTAATAAGTAAGTTTTATAGACTTTAAAAAAAAATACAAGAGTTCAAATTTTATTTTATTATGATTTGCTAAAGTATAAAATATTAATGATAAATATTATCCCTTAAACTGTATTCCAGGCAAATTTGCCTGGAAAAACATAGTAGCATGTGAAAATCTACAGACGAAGAGATAAAAATTTTAGATTTGCTCTGAAATAGGCCACGCAAAATAAATTAATTGGTTCTCATCACCAAATATATCGTATAATCTTGATCTGGTGTTTTACTAATTTATTCCCGTGTGAATAATAGTAGAACAAATCTGAAAAATTAGTAACCTCAAATAATCATTAGTAAATGATTATTCATTATCTAAAATACCCTTCAAATTATATCATTCGCTTTAATTTATCATAATCAGCGAGTATAAACAAGATTTATTAATCGGTAGAATTAAAATTAGCATAACTGATAATAATTATTTACCTCATACCTTTCAAATCGCTTAAATTTTAATGAGTATAAAGATGATTTATTAATCAGTGGAATTAAAATAAACAAATCATGAATATTGCACTTCTAAAAGAGAATATGGAATTTAAGGGATTAGTGATTAAAGGTTTATTACATATCAGATATAGAGAAACAGTATGTAGTTTTATTTAGTATCGGGAATATATAGCATATGTAAGTTATAAATAAAGGCCGAAATGGCCCTTCGGAAGAATAACTCTCAACTTCGCTTTATTTAAAATAATATTAAGTTCGTTACATACATAACTAAACCCAAAATTCCGATCTAGTGCTGTTTGACTTTAATATGTTACGAGAACCAATTAATTTTTTTTTACGTGACCTTAATTAAAGCGTTATAAGTACAGGGATTGGTCGCACCTCGTTAAATTACAAAACCCTAATTTGGATATTTAAAAAACGCCTATAAATTAGGGTTTACTATGTTATTAAAAAAAGCCCACATTTTGTACTATATTTTTTTTTTTTTTCAATTCTATTCTTATATTTAAACTAAATATTCGTAAAATATTATTTTATTTCCACACAAATTCCCTAGAATAGTTAGAATAGAAATATAATTCTAATTTTTTCGATAACCAAATTTATGATTCGCGAAAATTAAAACTACTTTGCAAAGTGCATTTGAAAGTATATTATAAACAAAATAGAAAACATATTAATGAAATATCTTTATTCTTTAAAATAATTTGAAAATATATATGCCATTTATGAATACACGTAATTAACACCCCCATATGTAAAAAATTTTAATAATATAAAACGAATTATTTAAAAAGAAAAAAATAAATAAATAATGCAAAGTTATCTGATATATATTAAAAAAAAAAAAACAATTATTTATAGGTAAGGAAAAAATTTTCTAAATATACATAAAAAATACGCATGTATGTGCAAAATTGTCTGTTTTGTACACCACCAAAGAGATAATAAATGTTTATGAAATATTAACTATGATTTTCCCTCAAGTTTTTTTCGTTGATTAATAACAGTTTCGTTTTCAGGTTCAATCGTTAATGCTTTCTCAATGTCTACCAATGCTTTTTCTTTCTTTCCCATAATATCATAAACAGCACTTCGTTCACATAAAGCAAATATATTTGACGGATCTCTTAATAAAACCTTATTTAAATCAGCCAACGCTTCATTATATTTTCCTAACGTAATGTGGACAGCACCTCGATTACACAAAGCTTTCGTCTCATGATCGATATTAAAGGCTCTATCCCTTATGTTGTCCAAAGCTCGGTCTAGATCAAATAACGCCTTTGTATTTTTATTTTGGGCTCGATAAACAGCACCCCTTAATGATAAAGGATAACCCCAATCAGGTGAACTATCCAATACCTTGTTCAAATCTTGTAACGCCTCATCATACTTTCCTAATGTTAAATATGCTTCTCCTCGATATGTCAATGCCCAAATATTTGATGAATTTAATTCTAACACAGTATTCAAGTCAGTAATAGCTTCTTCATGTCTACCCAACGCATTATATGCAGCACCACGAGTTTCTAAAGCGAAAACGTGTTTCGGTTTAATTTTCAGAGCTTTCTTTAAGTCAGCTAATGCTTCATGATTCCTTTTCAACATATGATAAACAGCTCCGCGATTTGTGAGAGCAAACACACTATTAGGATCTAAATAAATTGCTTCATCAAGATCTTGTAATGATTCTTCATATCTTCGTAGAGTTCTGTTAACGGCACCTCGACTTTCACGAGCCATTAAATTATCAGGATCAAGTTTAATCGCTTCATCTAAATCTTTTAAAGCCTTAAGACCTTGTCTTGCCATTCGGTAGACTTCACCACGTCTAGCTAATGCGTATACACATGCGGGGTCAACTTCTATAGCTCTTGAAAAATCACTTAAAGCTTTATCAAAATCTGAAAGTAAACGATAAATTTCACCCCTTTTTTGAAGTATTCCAACATCATTAGGATCAATTTTTAATGCTGATGTATAATCTTTTATGGCGTCATCATAATAACCTAATGATTGATAAGCTTCACCTTGACTCTTTAATAATTGAAAGTCAAAAGGTTCTATTTGTAACGCGATATTCATATGTGTAAGAGCATCTTCATATTTTTCCATCTTTGTAAGAATTTCCGCTTTATTCTTATGAGCGTTAAAATTTCTAGATTCTTTTTGTAAAATTCTATCAAAATCAGCTAAAGCATTTTGATCTTTACCTAAAGCTCTATAAACTAAACCTCTTCTTTCTAAAGCCATTATATTTTCTTCATATCTTAAAGCAGATTCTAAATCAGCAAGAGCTAAATCATAACGTCCTATAAGTCTATAAATTTCACCACGATTTGCTAAAGTTGAAGAAGCATTATTTGAATCTAATTCAAGAGCAATATTTAAATCCCTTATAGCATCATCATATAAACCAAGTAAACGATAAACTTTTGCTCTACGTACTATAGTAAAAACATTACGTGGTTCTAATTCTAAAGCTTGATCTAAATCTAAAATAGCTTCTCTATATTGATGAGTAGAACTATAAACTTCAGCACGTACTCTTAAAGCAAAAATACTTTTTTGTAATTTTAAAGATTTATTAAGATCAATTAAAGCTTTATCATAAATTGATCTTAAACGATAAACTTCACCTCTAAGTGAATAAGCACGAGCTTTTTTAGGTTTTTTTGAAATAGCTTGATTTAAATCATTAATAGCTCTATCCCAATCTTCAATTTGATAAGCAGCATAAGCACGATCACATCTAACTGAATAACTACCAGGATGATCTTTTAAAATTTGAGTGAATAATAATATAGCTTCATTAAATTGCATAGCTTCTAATGATTGCATAGCTCTTTGATAAGTTGGATCATTATCTTTTGAAGTTCTTCTAAAAATATTAGATATAGATTTTTGTTGTTTATGACCTTTTTTAGATTTTGATATATTAGTTTGAAAAGTATTTGAAGTAATATTAGTTTTACCACTAATAAAACTATTAAAAGTTGAAGCACTAGGACGACGATTAAATTGATGATTATAATGATTATTTAAATTATTATTTGTAAAATCAGTTTGATCAATAGAATTATTTGAACGATTTAAATCTTCAATAGGGGATTTCGTAAAAGGAATAGGATTATCAGAACTATTAAAAGTATTAAATGAAGAATGAGAAAACCTAGCAGTATTATCACTAAAATAAGGTTTACTTTTACTTTGTGACCAAGTATTAAATTGAGTAGAATTAATAGAATTAGTAAAGCTATTATGTCTAACATCAAGATCTTCTTGAAAACTTTTTGGAGATATTAAAGGGGAAGAAGGAGTACTATAAGATTGTTTATTTTGATAATTATTACTTGGTATTAATAATGGAGTAGTAGGTCTACTTTTAGGTTTATTATCATGTGAAGAAGAATTTATGGAGGGAAGGTGTGTTTCTGAAAAAGAAGCATTGATATTCGAATTATGGGTATATGGATTTGATAAATTAACATCAGATGAAGAAAGAATTTTTGGAGAGGAAGAAGAAAGAATTTTTTGAGGAGGAGAGGAGGAAACAAGTTTTGGAGAACCAACTCTCGGAGGAGGGGAAACAGAAAAAACTCTTGGAGGGGGTGAAGAAGAAGTAATTCCTGGAGATGGAGATGGAGTGATAAATTTCGGAGAGGTAGTTTGTTCAGTTGATTTACTATCTTGGGAAAATCTTTTCCTACGATTTTTTAGAGACAAAGGACTTATCGGTTTTTTTCTAGTAACTTTATTACCACTTAAACCAGTATTATTTATTGGTTGATCTATTTGTTCTTCTGATAAACCAGTATCAAAATTAGAACTTTGGCGGTGACTACTTTTATCTTCCGAAACAAGTAACGGAGAAATGACAGTTTCATCTGCAGGTGGAATATCTCCCCTTGAAATAAGTTCACCAAAGTCTTGAAACTCTAAAAGAGTAGTTGATTTACGATTTCCATATCGGGCATCGGATAATCCACTATCGACAGGGTTTAAAGAATATGGAGTGGTAGTTTGATGAATGCTAGGGTTAGCTTGTTGGATGCTAGGATTAGCAGAATGAATGGACTGAATATTTAGCTGAGAATCATTCATAGAACTCCTCTGAGAAACATTAGAATCGTTTGGCCACATATCAAAATTGAGTTCACTTGAATCAAAAAGGGAACTATAAGTTGGAAATAGATTTCGATTGCGAGAATCCGACGGTTGTTGAAAATAAGGCCATGAAGAGTCAGTACTCTTGGTATACATAAAGTCAGTCGGTCCTGAATGACCTTCATTAGTTTGATGAGTACTATAATATTGTTCTGTTGACATCCTTGACAAGGTTAACGAGTTTCCTTGACAAGTTTCTAAAAGATTATTATTAATTTTATTTTTTTAAAAAGTTGGATTTTATCGTTATATAAAAATAAAAGTTTAAATGTCGCTCGCTTACTGAATATCGATATTAATGTAAGGATATCTTTTCCTTCTTTTTTTAAACCAAGAAAAAAAAAAAAAAAAAAAACTTAAAAATAAAAAAAGATAAAAAAAAATTGTAAATCTAATTTTTTAGAGAAAGTATATGCTATTAATTTACGAAGAAAAACTAAAAACACTAAAAACACTAAAAATTCATTAGATGTCGTACTATTAACAATAAATAATAATTCTACATACATATTTATTTATATTTTATTATTAAATCATGTTGCCCTTTTTAATCTATTTAAACACCGATCACGTGATGAGTTATTTTTATACCAACTTGAAAGTCCGGATCTGGTTAATGTAAAAAAATAAATAAAATAAATAAAATAAATCATGTAACATACGCGCATGTACTACGGTCAATGTATTATCTGTTAATAGAATAAGTATTACCAGAAAAAAAAAAAATAAATGTCTACTTCAGTACTTAGGCTACTTATATAGTAAGATAATAATAATTCCTTTTGTCAGTTTCATTATCTTGGAACAGGAACATACGTATATATTTGTTTGTGTTCATGAAATAACCCATTACAAAGTTACGATTGATTATTTATTTGTAATATGAGTTCATTTAACAAATGATTTAAATTTTTGACGTATATAAGTATATACTGTAGAGTTGTACAATAATATCAGACATAAGGAAAAGCAATAAAGTCGGACTCTTGGTTTGAAACTCCGCATAATGAAAGTACACAATCCAGCAACAGAATTCCGAATTTATTAACTGTATTAATGCTAGCTTGTTAAGATTCCATTCAGAGTAACGATTACTAAAGATAATATTTACAAATTTTCTTTTTTTTAATCTATATCATATACCTTACGTAGAAGGAGTGTAAGGTAGTAGTATCATTTGGCATCGGGAATGTGTTATGTCCTTATTTAGTTCTATTGAAGTAATTACCTTTTTTTTTTTTTTTTTTTACGTATTAACATTCCGTGGACTACTAAAGATGAAATTAATTCTCAAACATAATGAGAGTTTTGCTACATATGGCAATGTGATAAGATTATCTATATTCTAAACAATTACAAGTTGTGATAGGTTAAAGTAAAATAATGCAATATATAATAACTACATATCGGTTATTCTATTTTAACGTTAAAGTTAAATTCGGTAAATTCAAGAATGTAAAGATTGAAAAATATTATATATTACTGATCATTCATTAATGTGTTAGTCTACCAATTCTACCAGTAGATTTATTTTTGGACTAATTATTCATTTAAAATGAACCAATAACCTTAAATGTGTGCATATATTAAAATATATGCGCATGAGAAAAATGTATCCGTATATTTCCTTAGAGTAGAAATTCATATTTAATCTAAAAATAACAAATATCGTGTTCAAATTTCATGTTCAATCTAAAAATAACTTAAAGATCTCTATGTGTTCAAATCTATCTATGAATTTAAAAACATCTGAAAATCAATTGTTGGAAATAGAACTTTCGAAAATGCGCAGTTTTGCTTATCATTTATTTTTTTTTTAATATTACTTGATTTTGACTAATATTTATACGTATCGTACGTAACAGATAAATAATCTGTGGTCATACGTAGAAAAAACATTTTAAAATATATTACGTATCGAGAATTCTTCAAAAATCCTTTATTTGCATTTATATACTGTCTAAACGCATATATGTATTTATATACTGTCTAAACGCATATATGTACTCTCAGAATGCATAACTATTAACATAGTGCATATTGTCTAAATCTCTTTTTTAAAACAATTAAAATTATATTTTTCTTTGTAATAAATTAAGATTAAATTCAGATAAATCCTAAATGTTTTAATAACTTTTTCAATTATAAATATAATTACTAAACCAAAATCATTAAATCTCCGTTCATAGTATTATTGATCATACCTCAAAAATTCGTCTGACCCCCCCGAAATTTTGTTACATACTTGTGTAATTGTGTTAACCGTTTATCATCAGATAGTTGATCTACAACCCATTAAAGTTCTGTTAACGTGCTCTTGAGTGTCCACCAATGTCACCAAGCAAAAAATAGGGACTGATTAACATATTTTGTGAAATGGTAAAGTAATTTATACCCTTCTGTTGTAACCTACAATACGAGACTCGCAAATTTCTAGATTGTTCTTAAAATAAATCTTCATGGCTGTTAATCAGTCCATCCAGTCTGAAAAACCGTCGATCTATGATCGAATGGGACAGATGAATGTATGTACGTACCGATTATCAAATTAACAGTGAATTAAATTTGGAACGAGCAGTAAATCAGTGCTGTTAACAGTTAATCAGTCAAAGACCGCAGATCACAATTAACAGTGAATTAAATTAGGAACAAGCAGTAAATCAGTTAATCAGTCAAAAGACCACAGATCAACAGATAGATTGATGAAACTGAAATCTGGTCTTAAGACCAGTGGTCTGAACTTATCTAAAACTAGACCAGTCTAGAAAAACTAATTCTTATGACTATTGACTATAACGATAATAGACCAGACTGAAACCAGATCACGTAAAAATTTGGACATTAAATCAAATTTCTAAATATTTTTATAGAATTCTCAATTTTATTGGTTGACATTGAATGATTATTATTTTTTTCTGTGTCGTGAGCATAGGAAAATTCCGGACAATTGATTAACGGATAAAATTTAGTCTAAATTACAAATTTAATATTGACTAAAAAATTATCCAAATATTTGCCTAACGCCGCTGTTTGCAAATTACTTTAATTTTATGCTTTTTTTTGTTTCGGTAAATCAATTTCATGTAATTGTAACTTTGAATAATGCAAATCATATATTCGATGCATTATGCGTTGCCAAACAAAAGACTCTATAGATAAAAATAAATATTATTAAGAAAACTTCTTTCAATTACAAAAAAACTCGTTATGCATTTGAATTTTTAAAATTTACATTGTTAAAAATGTTGTTCAACTGCTAATTACCGAATTACTGCGGGATTAAGATAAATTTTGACTAACTTTAAGTTATAGTTTTGCCAGCATTAACGCTAGGAGAAGGACTCTGAAGAGTTCCGATACTATGAGTGAGTTGTACAAAAGATTCCGGTTTAGCCAATTAAAATTTGCAAAATTTTGGGTAATTTACTATAAATTAATTTTATACTCACTTTGTAGACTCAACACAACACTTCATCTACAATCAATTCACCGACAGTTTATTTCATATAAATTCTTCTAACTAACTCCAATTCTAATTCTACAATGTCGGCGAAATGAACTGTCTGAAATAAATTGTCAGAAATGTCGTCAGAAGTGAGCAGAACCCTGTTTAGTATTACTAGGATTGGAAAAATTACGAAATTTTGCGTAATTTTATATAACACATAACTTTGATCATCAATGCAGGCCAAACTTTCGTCACCGAACATATTACAAAGACTTACTCTAATACTTTGTTCATGACAATACTCTATTGAATGTAAATGTTATTACATACGTATTTAATGTATAACGATAATGTAACTTTAAATGCACCAGGTACTGTACGTGCGTATTACATTAATCACATGATCAAAATTACATCAGAAAGTAAAATAACGTAAATTTACGGTTGTTAATGCTTAGATCCGTTGAAAAATCCAAAGTAATTGGTTTAATTATCTCTTAATACGTTATGCAGGCAAAAAAATAGTAAACACGTGAAATGTACATACACGATAATGATTGATATCGATGTGTTTAACAGTGATGTAATTGTATAAATACAGAGATTTGTTGGAAAAGTAAAATGTACGTAGTAGACAAACAAAGCAAAAGGAAAGAACGAGTAATAAACCTTGGAGATTTTAGTTTTAGCGAAAGCTCTAGTAGAGTTTCTTAAATGGAATTACTTTCGTTGAACAATAATCAATAAAGAACCAAGAATAAAAAAGAGGTATAAAAAAAAAACCTCTAATAAGTTAATGGGCAGAGACGATCGTTAAAGAAATTCCAATCTTGTTAAATTTTCTTAATAAAAAATATTACGCGCACAGTTGCTAACAAAAAAAAAAGTCAAGAATTTGTCGATTGGTTTAAAAAAATATATAATTCAAATTGAGATTACAAGAAATCAAGACTTTATTAATATTTGTTGAACATGTTTTTATTAGAATATGCATTAATAATTATAATCGATAACATCAAAAATAAAATTTTTTAAATTTATATGATCATTTAAATTTAATTTCATTAAAGTCTTGAGGTATTTCATATCATCTAGATTTAGTTATCATGTTTTTCCTATAAGCGATAGCGGACTGTAGAAGTTTCGTACTGTATTTTGTTTTTAAATGTACTGTACTGTACTTAAATTTAGGTGTACTATATTAAATATCCGTACAGTACACTCTTTTATATTATATAAATATAAATGCGTACTGTACTGTATTGAATAAAAAAATACAAATAATAGTACAGTACAGTACATTTATCTTTTTAAAATAATATCGTTATTGCCGAAAGCAATACACATCACTTCCACTAGATTAATTCCGTAGTTTTTTTTGGTTGGCATTTTTTTCGTTAATTCTTGGGCAAGCTTTTATATTGACATCTGTATAAACTGATAGCTGATTATAACGACAATTTTTCAAATTTTAAACCTATATACTTAATATGAAAATGCCTCTGGTTAAGCCGACATTGGATAATTTCTTTATTTTGAGAATGTCGATATAACCAGAGTTATGTGTATTTTAAGTTTATATGAATATCAATAATATTAATTTATTACACGGGAACTTAACCAAATGATCAAATAATCTTAACTCTCGGAGCAGCTTATATAAAGTTAGGCAATTATAAAGAATCACTTGCAGATTTAAATAAATTATTAGAAA